TAATGGTAATCACTATAGCTATGAGGGACAAACCATTTAGGAAATGATGGTTTCAAAGGTTCCATGTAGATAGGAGCTAGCAAATGTTTCTCCTTGAACTGTGGGATAAAGTTTATGTAGGGCATGGTGATTGGATCAAATGTAACCTTCTCTTGATTGTTTCATGGTCTTTTTGAATTGTTTAATTGATTGCTTGGCTTAGAAACAAGTCTTGCTTAGGATATAGTGGATGGGTTATACATATGAGTTTGTGTTTGGGGGGCGAAAAGTTGGTTGGTAAGTCGTTTGGTTTGGTGGTTGGTAGGGGTAGTGGGTGGATGCTACTTGGGCTTGGTAAATGGGTTGGTGATAGAAAAAGGCATAACTTTTAAATTATTGTCCTTCATGACTCATAGTATGAGCTTCACCTTCTTTTTTCTTAGGTAAGCCACTCTTTTTTGCATCAAATGTTTTTTCTTCATCTAGTTTACCATTTTTAATGGCATTTGCAATCATTTCACTTGAAATAACCATGTTAGCAAAGTTCTCTATGGTGTTCCTTATCATTTTTTCATAATAAAGCACCTTAAAAGTGCTAACAAAGAGCATTGTAACTTCTTTCTCGATGAGGGGTGATTGGACTTAGGCAATGACATCCTTTCATCTTTGGACATATTGCTTGAAACTTTTGATGGCCTTCTTTTCCATACTTGACAAGGAAAGGTGGTCAGGATTGTTATATACAAAACAATCTAATCGAGTTAATTTAAAAGAAAAAAAAGCCATACAATCCAATTTAAAACTAGAAATCACTAAGCAAATGTCTAATTCAGCTTAAGTTTAAGACAAACCAACAAAATTCTTCACTATCTTGGTTTTAAATAAATAAAGAAAAAGCAACAAAATTATAAAACTATATTTCTGAATTCAACTAAATGAGCCATCATATAAATGTAGTAAAGAATGAATTTTATATGAAATTACTTGTTTGCAACCCAACCTTGTAAAAGGATAGAACTCTTTAAGCTGTTAGATGATAAATTCTTTTCTTTTGAGGTCTCTATACAAACTTTCGTTCTATGGACAACAAAAGACATCAATGTTTTGTAAAGCAGTAAAAATCTAGAATAGATATGATTTAACAATAAACTTTCACAACTTAATGCATGCTACATCAATTTCTCTAATAAACATCATCTCAAAAGTTATTTTTCTTTTATGATATTCTAGGTGTAGATACAATTTATTAATTTGAAAGTAAATTAATTTGTCAATTATCTTTAACTTGAAACTGAAAAAAAAAAATTAACTTTTTCACCCATAACTAAAAATGAGTTTCGAGTTTCTATGACATGCAAAGACAAAGGCATATTTTTTTTATGAATCCAAGCTAAAGTATTTCACATTCCAATTAATCACCCATGATATCGATGCGCTTTGGTTTTAACTATGATCTTACCATAAACTCTTCAGGTCTTTCTTTTAATCTCCTCATATTTTTGGCATAACAAAATTTAATATAGAGCAAAACCCTAATTCAAGAAACAGATTAAAAGTAACTTACATTGAAATAAAACCTAGACCTTATCTGGATCAAGCTAAACCATTTCATTTCCATAGTAAGGAGTCATAAACATATAGTCATAATCCAATATCACCTACTATGAGGGTTTACTACAACATCCAAGCAATCAAATTTGCTTTACTTTTAGTTTGATATTTAAAAAAATTTAAAAAAATTTAAAAAAATTAAACTAAATGATCATAAACTCGGATGCAAATTACGAAAAAAGGTTAAAAAAAGAACTTAACAATTTTATCTTCTAAATTTCTATTGAGCAGCAGCAGGAACTTAACAGGAGTCAAACCTTCTTGTTTCCAACCGACCAAAGTATCAAATGTATTTAAATGAAATTCGGTGTCACTGTCAACATGTTTAAAAACAAAAAATCTTTCACTAAAAATCATTTCAAGTAAGTGAGAAATTTGGAAGTTTTGTTGCCATTGTTGGAGAGCCAATGAGTGCCTTTTTTTAAACAATGAAACCCTCTAGAAGCATATGAAATTGCTTTTTCTAAAATTGTTCATGTAATTTTTTTTATGTATTCCTAAAACATCCTTCACATCTTTTTTTTTTTTTTACACTGATGATTTGTACTGTTAAATTGAAGCTGGGGATTGCTCATATTATATGTAATAGATTTGAAATCTTTAAACTTTATAGTAAGGTATAAATGAGCAGAATTTTTAATGAATCGTTTGTGAATATGTTCAGTTTCTATTTATTTATATTTGTTTTTTGAGTTTAACAAATGATCTTAAATAGCATTTTTATATTCGTTCATTGAACAAACCGAATATGAACAAATGTCTATTTGATTCATTTATATTTACGAATAAATTCGTTTAAAACTCATTCGTTTTTATTCTTTTATAATAATAATAACAAAATTATATTTTAATCCTTTATCTTAATTTTTTTAAAGATTTGTTTATATTCGTTTGGGTTTATTTATATTCGTTTATGATTTATTATTTAAATTTGTTTCGTTATGATTTGTTTATTATTCATAAACATGTTTGTATATATATATATATATATATTCGTAAAACTGTTCGTTTAATATTTATGAATAAATTTGTTTAACTTAATTAAATGGAATATGAAACAAATGCGAACGTCCAACCATTTAAATGAACTAATTTGGAATGAATAAAATAATTATTTTATCAAATATGAACTAAGCTCAAATACATTTAAAAATAAATTAATAAATCATAAATATGCATTCATTTATTCATATACGATTCGTTTATAGCCCTATTACATACACTATCCAATAAAATTGAAATTTGAGCCGATAGTGTAACTAAATTTTTTTTTCCCCTCTATGGGCATTTTCAAGGAAGCATTTTCTTGGTTTTTGGTTGGCAACGAGGAAAGAAAAATGTACAGGAAGGGGAATGGAAGAAAAGAATCGAAGCCGGGAAAAGGCTAAACAAATGGAGAGAGGGCCAAAGTGATAAAAAGAAACAAAAAAGGAAGGACATTGGAGAAAAAAAGCCGGTGGGGGAAGGTGGTCGACCACTCTCTTATGCTGTTTTGAAATAATGGTAAGATATTTGATCATTTAGATAACAAAATAGCAGCAAAAATGAAATGAAAATGAAAAATAACCATTAAAAAATTATTTTAAAAGCACATTGATAAATTATTTTGTTATATAATTTTATGAAAAGTGGTTAACTTACATTAATATAAAACTTTTTGATTTTATATTTTTTAATTATTGATTTTAATAAATTCAAATGACAAGAAAGATAAATAAAAAATAATTTAATCCCACCAATTAAATTTATTTAAATTAATTTAAAAAATAGTATAAAAACTATAAGTTGATCTCTTTTTATAATTTAATATTATTTATAACATTTTACACCAGGAGGGCTCCTAAAAACTGAAAGTCAAGCAAGAGCGGAACAGGCGTACGGACATTGTATACACATGCATATATAAACATCGGAGCGGTCAAAGCCTGCGATAAAGAAGACTGTCTTCATCTCGATCAAGGTCCACCGCTTGACCTTGGAACAAGTTGGGGCCTAACAGAGACTGCACAGAAAAGTTTCATGTCACTTTGCTTTGATGAATCAGAGAGCAGCTTCTGGCCGTAGGCTTCCTTGCTGCTAACCATGTCAAGTGTCAACCATTTCAATTCTAGCTATCTGTTATTCTAGTGCCTGCAAAACCAAAATCGTTTAACCGAACAAGGGACGAAGCATTCCATTTCCAAGTGTCCCGCTTCTGATAGTAACACCATTTGAAAGAACAACCCGGTCGTACCCGATTGTTTGGCTTAAAATGTAATTCTTCATATTCATTTTTTTTATCCATCTCTTTTTTTTAGAATATTTTAAAATCATATATTTTTTTAAATATCTATAACTCTTATTTTTTATATTTTAAAATTATTTTTTATGATTTTTTTATTTTTTGACAATAACAATCATAAAACTTTAATTTTATAAAAAAATTTAAATTTTAATATTAAATATATTAAAGTCCAAACTTTTTTTTCTTAAATTCTATGAAAATCAATATATAACAAATACTTTAAAGACAAACATTTTGAGACGAAAGAAATAATAGAGTTAATTATATTAATATCTAAATTTTAGGAAAATATACAAATTAGTATATGAAAAAATAAAATACATAATTTGCATTTGAATTTGAATTTGAATTTTTAAATAATATATCATTTTAATTTTAATTTTAATATTATTACTTAATTCTATTATATGATGTCTAACTAGTATAATTTTATTATATGTATGTTATTTGTTAAATAAAAGTATTAAATATTTTGTAAAAATTTTAATGTGGATGTTATGTGACAAATATTTTGACATATTCTATACAACTTTTACAGTTTATGTAAAAAATATACTTTTTTAAATTTATATTAAAAAATTGATAGTATACATGGTATTTGATGGACACATTGATAATATTTATGAAACGATATATATATATATATTATATATATATATATATATATGAGAGTTGACATGATTAATAGAATTAGAGTTTGGATTAATAAGATACATAAATTTAAAATTTATAGTACAAATTATATATTATTTGAAAGTTTAGAGTATAAATTATATATTTTATTTTTTCAATACCAATTTATACATTTTCTCAGTTTAGATATCAAAATTGTACTATATTCAAAAAGACAAAAAGGCTAATTCCAAACCGAAAAAGAGCAGGATAAAAAAGGCATAGTTACAAGCATGAGAATTGAGAACATAAAGAAAAGCCCTTCTATTATGATGCAACTACAATCAACAAGCATACCAGTGCAACACACATGCCTACGGAGTTCCAAGTTATCATGTATCCTCATCTATTGAACTACACCTACAAGCAAGCGATAAGATTAACCTAATCTGAAATAAATTCATGTAGCATGAGCTTAAAGCCCAAGAAGCTAGAATCATTTTTATTACTATCATTTGTTTCTCATTACTGCAGTTCTTACTTGTTCCAAAAAAACACCAACGAACACAGTAAATGAAATTGCTAGGAATTTACTAGTTTAGCAACTCCTACCGAACGGTGCAATCTCAAGTGTAGCAACACAACACAGAATCAAAAGACAAATACTATATTCCATTCAACAATTGTCATCAGAAAATCAAGCTCATGGAAGAACCGTTCTCTTCGATTGAAAAGGCACTATTCAGCTTACTTTATACAAGATTATTCAGCTTGAGAGAAAGAACAATGAATGAAGATGGATAATAATAATAAAACAAAAAGTAGCATTTCAAAGCAACTGAACCTACACCAGAAAGTTACAAGAAATTCAACTTTTTTACTAGTACCACTGTATACCACTAGTTATGGTCACAAAATCACCGTCAGTCAGCAAATAAATGCCTTCAAACTTTTTCTTACAGCTTTTTGCAACACCCGTTACTACCTCTGCAGAAAGCCAATTATCAACAAGTCAAGCTCGCGAATTTAGATTCAACCATAATAATAATAATAACTTAAATTAAACCAACAAGCTCGAAAACAGCTGAAGAAAAAAATCACTTGTTCGTTGCTGAGAAATTGTCAGAAACAGAGAAAATTGTGGGAAATTTTTTAAATCTCACATTCTGGTATAAATTAGAAGACGTATAAATTCAAGATTCAAGACAGAACAAATCTGAAAAAAGAAAGAAAGCAAATTTACGTTGCCGTTTTCAATTAACTCAGGAACCTTGTAAGAATCCACCGTCACCTCTGTCAGCCACAATCCAGGAAACAACGACTGCAACCATACCCAAAAAAAAATAAAAAATGAAATAAAGAATAAAACCAAAAGTAACCGAAAAAGCATTCCTCGAAAAGAAAAAAAAATTATAACTTACATCCAATTGCTTCTGAACATAACGTGCCCGTTTCTTTGGCCTTCTAAGAGGGCGGTGCCCAGCCATCACCATGAAATCCTCCTCAATCTCTTTCTTTGATAGCGAAACCGAGAATTTCGGTCGTAGCTTTTTCTTCTCGGCTGCCGCCGCTGCTACCGCCGACGATGCCACCGACAGTCCTCTGTCTCTTACTCTGGGTGACTTAATCACCCCATTTTTCATCAAAGAACTATGGTTGTTGTTCGTTTCCCCTCCGTTAATCGGAGCCTTACAAGCGGCACGCCTCGTCCTGAGATTCCACGGCCTCACCTCCACCTCTAACGCAGTCGGTTCTTCCCTCTCTTTCTCTTTAATTTTCTCCTTCTCTTTCACTTTCTGTTTACGTTCTTCAAATCCATCCTCATCGTCGTCAACCTCATTATCCTCAGACACTTCGTCTCTAAAAATCTCATCTTTCATCTTATCCGCCGCCATTTTAAGATCCTTAATGATCTTCTCTCTAACTGCCTCGATGCCCTCCGCCGCCTCTCCTTTCGATGTCCTCAATTCCCTTCCATAATCGCTGTCCTTGTTGTTGCTGGGAGACGACTCCGATTCCCGCCGCCGCATTCCATCAACCATCAAACTCTCAAATTTCAACGGGGGAGATCGGCGTCTTTGAAACACGTGACGACGAAGATAATGATGATGGTTAACAGCAGCGGCAGAGGATGAGTCGGTGGCGACGGAAGCATTATCAAGTTTCATACACCTGAGATGCCTCTGATTGCCCCACTTCAAACAAGGAAGCTTGAAATTGTGAAGAGGCTTTGATCTCTCGGGTCCCATCGTCAACTCTTTCTCACCAAAATACACCATTGATCGCATCCAAAACAGAGAGCGAGCTCAATCTTCAAATAAAATAAAAAAAAGGAAAAGAGAAAAAAAAAAAAAACTTTTCTCTCTTTTAACTTTATTGAAGAATTTTTCTTTGTTTTCCGTTGGGAATGGGTTTCTTATTTGCTATGCCAATCGCCAGGAATGCTTTGAGAGTTTTTTCCTTTTATGTATAATACAGGAGACGGAAGTGAGGGAAGAGGGGGAGGGCGGTCTTAAAGTTCCGATTGTGAGATTTTTCATTTTTGGGGGTGCTTTCGTAATTTCATACTTCGGTGATCAGCGTTCTGCTATAGTGCGCCCCCGTGTATAAGATAAGGGGATTTTAGATATAGTGACATTGGTTTAAATCGATTCGATTTTTTAAATATTATATAATATTATAAAATTACAAATTTAAATTTAAATTTAAATTTAAATTAAATTTCATTCAATCTAATAAAATTAAATTAAATTTTATCAGTTTGATTTAATTTAATTATTTATTTTTAAATTTAAAGTTTATTATTTTTATTTATTATTTTAATATAAAATTTTAATATATTTAAATAAATTTTCATATAAAATTATTATTTTTATTTTATAAAAATTTAAAATATATAAAAATTAAAAAATATATAATTTGATTCCATTCAATTATGTTTTACCTTTTATTCTAAAATTTAATTTAAATATAATATATATATTAAACATTCAAACTTAATTCGAATAGAAAAAAATAAATTCAAATTAAATTAAAAATTATAATTTTAAATCGATTTTTATTTTTTTCTCAACTCTAATTTTGGGAGTTTCCCCCGGTCATACGTCATTTTTGAGTTTTGATTGGCGTAACTACTGTTTGATAAAGCGCACGTTTGTTTTCATCTCTTCTTTAGTTGTAGATTTTACTTTTTCTTAAAAAGCAAAAGCTGAAAATTCGATGAAATTGTAAAAGTTGTGTGACAAAAGACACTGTCAATGTGACGTGAAAGAAGATTTTGTTTTTTAAGCCTTTATTATTTGAGTAAATTGCCATGCATATTTATTTCAAATAATTATTATTAGTTTTATTTTTCACTCTTCCAAAAATCATATAAAAAAATTCTTTATTTGAGGCATGAAGGAATGAATTTATATATGTATAAATAATATATACGGGATTTTAATTGGAATAAAAAAAAGCAAATGGGTTTGATTATTAATTAATTTGTTAGCACAAAAAAAAAAAAAAGCATTGCTTTAGTTCTTTAGTTGAGTTTTATAAAAATATGAAAACATATGTTATATATAAATAATATAATACAATATATAATTATATATGAGAAGCGATTCATTTATATAAGTGTAACTCTTACATTTTTTGATCCTAGGATCAAAATTATTAAATTTAAAAAAATTTTAATCATTAATTTTAATAAATTCAAAAAATAAGATTAAATCATTTTTTTACTTGTCTTACTCATTATTAAACTTATTAAAATCAATGATTAAAAAATATATAAAAGTAAAAACTTTTATCTTGATGTAAGTTGATTCTTCTCTTTCTCTCTCTCGCCCTCTCTTTATATATACACACACACATACACATATACACATACACACATATATATACATACACACACATGTATATATATATATATATATTGTTTTTATCTTTTTTGAATTTCTTATACCATTGCCAAAGTGCTTGTTTAAGGTCATAAAATGATTTGTTGAGTTTACTTACATTGTGTTCTTATCCTTGAACCACATAACCTTATGATTGGTGAATGTAGATTTCTTCTTCTAGATCACTATATAAGTAAACTTGGTGATATCCATTTGACATACTTTAAGGTAAACATCACCCTTGTAGAAGTAATCTTTAAACATTCCTTTTAACTACAACATTTTGCTACCAATCTTGCTTTGTATATTTCAATGCTACCATCAGTTTTGAATTTCTTTTTCAAAACCCACATGGAGTCGATAAGTTTAGTGTTATAAGGTAGGTTCACTAAACCGTGTATTGTTCTTAAGCATGGATTTAATCTTATCATCATAGCTTTCTTCCATAATACGGAATCATGTATATTCATAACTTTTTGAAAAGTTTTTGGATCCTACTCTAATATGTAAGTAAATATATCCGATCCTTATTTTTTTCTATTCACTTTCTTTTTTTTCTTCTTAATTCAACTTGAATTGATGCATTATCATGATATGCACTAGCATATTTGTCACTAACATGATCATGTAAAGATGCATCATCATTATCAAACACATGCTCACGCTCTAGTAATTCATTTGACAATTCTTTTTGTAATTGAATAATCTTAGCATCTTTAAATAGCTAAATTCTCAAAATATATAGTATGAGTAGATTCAAAAACACTAGTGGTCTTTAAATTAAGAAATCTACATACTTTAGATGACATATAAAACAAACACATATTTTGTAGTTTTACTACCTAATTTTTATCTTTTTTTAATGGCATCTAAAACATATATAATGCAACTAAAGACTTTGAAATAGTTTATGTTAGGCTTTCTACCTTTCAATAATTCATAAAATGATTTATCAGAACCTCTATGCAATATTCTGTTAGAAATATAACATGTTGTAAATAATTAATGCTTCATCCTAAAAATTCAAAGGCATACTAGTTAATGCAAAAGTATAACACTTGCCATTGCAAGCAATATCCTATTTTTCCTTTTTGCTTCTCCATTTTGTGGTGGAATATTAGGAGCAAAAATTTCTCTAATAATGACATGCAATTTACAAAATGCAAAGACCTCATTTGAAAGATATTCACCACATTAATCGAACCTAAGCCTCTTAATCTTCTTATTAGTCATGTTTTCAATTTTTTCTTTAAAAATCTTAGATTTTCCAAAAGTTTCACCTTTGGTTTTCAATAAATAAACATAAGTGAATTTTGAAAAATCATTTATAAAGCTAATAAAAAAATATTTTCGACCTCTAGTTAAAACATTATTAGTTACAAATCAGTATGAATCAATTCTAACAAATAATTTAATTTTTACACTAAAAAATTTGTTTTGAAAAATGTTTTAAAAGAAGATTTTGTAATTTTTCTTGAGCACAAAATTCACTAGTCTTAGTGCTAAGTATAGTAGATAATTTAGGAATTAACTCATGTGATGATTGCGATTTAATGCATTCATGCCAATATGTCCAAATCTATAATGTCATAAGCAATCTGTATCATTCACATCAACAATAAAAAGGTAATTAAAAGCATTTTATTGATATGGAAAACATACATGTTGTCTTTAGTATATCCTTTCTTTATAAATGATCTTTTCCTAGAAATGATCATTTTTTGGAAATCAAATACAATTTTAAAACCATGATCATCTAGTTTCCTAATAGAAATTAAAATCTTTTTAAGATTTGGATTGTGATACACATCTAGCAAAGTTAGAACCTTGTCAAATGTAAGAGGAAGTTTGATAGTTTTTTTGTTAACAACTCTTCAAGTGGATGAGTTCCCCTTGAAGACTGATTTATCCTTATTAATTTCTTCATAGGTCTCGAAAACACATTTGGAGTGATATGACAAGTTGCATCAGAATCAATCCACCAATCTTGATTTTCAACTAAGAGAATATCGATGAGCATTACAACTATGCCATTTTTTGAACATTTTTTGGCTTCATTTTTCTTACCTTTGTAGAAGTGACACACTTTTGCAAAATGTATATTCTTTCCACATACATACCATGGACCTTTTTTCTTCTTGAAATCTTTTCCAAACTTGTTCAACTTCCCTTTCACTTTGAAGAGTTTCTCTACCTCTTGTTGTGTTGATTATTTTCACCCTTAAAAAAAGATGAAAAACTAGGACCCTCGATGTTATACACATTATTTTCCTTCACATTATTATAGATTTCATTTCTTTTTAAGGCTACACTTTCAATTTGAATGTGCTTAACTAATTCATCCTAGGTAAATGACACTTATACTTCAAATACCTTTGGTAACCGTTCCTAGATTGAGGTAACTTACCAATGACAATAGACACTTGAAAAGTTTCAAAAATTAGTTTTTTAGCATCATTAATGGCACTCAATTGCAACATCATTTAACTCATTAACTTGATCAATGATGGGTTTAGAGTTTGTCATTTTGAAAACCAAATAAATGTTCATAAGAAAGGATTTGTTTCATGCATCTTTATTCTTACATCTCTTCTTTATAGCATTCGTTTGCTTTATTGTGTTCATAAAATACATTGAAAAGTGAATTACTGAGTGCTTGGAGGATGGTTAACCGACATATGTAGTCATCTTCAATCCATTTTATTGCTTTGCAAATAATTATCCATTCTCATTACTTCTTATGGATAGAACTTATGTAGAACATAAGAAACCTTAAATAAACTAATACGATACACGGTCTAGCACTTGTAGTTCATGCCATTGAACCTTTCAAGTTTTTATACTTCATAAATGTGAGGCTTGATTGTTAAAGTCACCATTTGAAGAAGTCTGTTATCTTTAAACTGTTGTAAATTTAATAGTGGCAACCAAATGCAAAGAATGGGGAAAAAATGAAGATTCTTTAGGTAAGGCACTTTCAGAAAACTATTTTAAGGATAATAGTTATTCCATTATGGTACAAATGAAGTTATCTCCAAGACACAAGCCTAAATTAAAGAAAAATAGGATTGCACTTCAAGTTCTTCTTTAACTCATTTGAACAGAATAAAAAAAATGAGAAGTTGTGTGAAAATGAATGTGAATGAAAGTATTTATAGGTCTCAATCACTGTTTAAAACATCTTTCATGAATAGGTACCTCTTGGATGAAGAATAAGTACTTTTGGAATGAAGCATCATGCCTAATGAATAGGTTTTTATTTTTTTTTCAAGAAGGGCATTTGAATGTTCGATAATGGCATTCAATTGTTTTAGGCTATTTTTCAAATAGAATGTGAAATCCTATCAAGTATTCATCTGCCTTATTTAAGCTATTCGATTGCTATGGGTAATTTTCCCACATAATGTAATTTTTATCAAAAAGGTCGACTATTCTTCTTGAGTGTTCGACCACTCTTAACAAAGTTTCAAACAAAATGTGTGAAAATCCTAGGCAGTCGATTGCCTCCAAAAATAGTTGGTTGGTTCTCAAGCCTATTTTTTGACAAATAGTCATTTGAAAGTCAATGATTCAATTTTTTCATGAACAATTGTTAAGGCAGTTTATTTTATGCTACATGAATTTAAAGCTTTGTT